ATCCCTATATATACATATATATATATATATATATTTATATATATGTATATAACTAGTAATTTGCAGTGCTTCAAGATTCATGTGAGGAACAAGAAGGCAAAAAAGAAACTCGGTGCTTACTCATTTAACAAGAGAAATAATTTATGTCAACAAATATGAGTAGGAATTAGTTGCACTTATAACATTTTATGATCTCAAAGTTGAAATATTGTGTCGTGCAACCAAAAAGGTAGAAGGTGTATTCCTTTGAATTTTGATTGACATTTTAAGATTTTTTAAAATCCGAGATTATATTAGACTTTTTAAGATTCTTTGATTTATGTTAAATCCTTATAAATCTCATGTCCGAAGGTTAGATTTGGTGTAATATTTTGTTGATGTAATTTTGTCACTGAAATTCGAGAAAATCATAAATTTCCACTCAAATCTAAGTGCTAAATAAATTGAATATTGCTTGACTTTTTAAGACTTTTTGAAATCCCAAATTGATACCTGTGATTTAGTATAAATTTTCAAACGATATACCAGGATTCTTAAAATTTCAAACAGTGTTTAAAATCCAGAACAAATACACTCATTGTATTATGCAGATGGAGTAAAATGGTTCAACACAGTGGGTAAAACACAGTTGACTCCCTCGTGGTAACGAGTTTAATAAAACATTTACGTTTGGTTTATATACCAAAATAATTCACTAGAGAAAAAAAATATGCGAAAGACATATATCACAAAAACATATATAGAGAGATTGAATTAAATGAGGCAACATTCTTAAAGTGAGAATGTGGAGCTAAATCCTAGCCATTAAATAGAGACTCAAATATATAATTATGATTTAATCTTTTATATATTTTTTTTAATTATCCTAATTATGGAAATGATTACTATAAATAAAAAATTCAACCTAAAACGACAGTTAATACTAACTAGAGGGAGTATATATAATGAATGGTACAGGCACAATTTTCGATCAAAGCCCAACCACTACATTATTATTACTCAATCATACAAAGTATTATGCCACACCGCACACACACGATCCAACACCCACTCAAGCTATGTTGTGCATGCACGGATAGTCTCTTTTCATTCAAGAGTCTAGTACCTTTAACCCTACTCACACTATCAGAGATATGGCCACTCTAGGCTTACTCGCTACATCTAGCGTTCGCCAAACTCATTAGTTCTAACCTTATAGGTGTTGGCCATACACACTCTACAACGCTCGTGTATGCCAACTCACGCAACCCTCTTACAAGTACTAAAATTTTCCACTAACGCTAGATTAAGCAATCATCGACTGTTCCACACAAAGTGCTACATCATTGTGTTGCATCTGCCCACGATGCCAACTCAAGAGCTGCTCACAGACTGGTGGAATCACATTTTAGTTCTGAATAAAAGCTTTAAAATGACACTATTTTGAAATGAATATAATGTATTTTATTATGAGTTACTTGAACCGTACAAAATGTGCATAACTTTAAATAGACATGTTTTATGTAATTTTGCATAATTTAAAATTCATATAACAATTTCAACAAATTAACATAGGTAATTTAATAAGCATTTTAATTTATAAGTTATTCTTTTTAGAAAAAATAAATACATAATGAGTCATAGTGGCAAGAAATACATATACATTTTTCTCCTTATCTCTCTCGTTCCTCTCGGCGAAAACAGAATTCCCAAACCCTAACCTCCGATGGTCGTCGTTCTGCCTTCCTTGGCGGTGGTGGGGATCAGCTTGTGGTCGTCCCCAACCGCTCTTCTCGTCCTGGACTTGGTACACCCCAAATTAGCTGCGGTCTGGAGCTCAATCGAAGGCGGAGTAGAGCTTCGAGGTGGTGCCCGTTGGTCCGATTCAGGTTGGAGTTTGGTGGCCTAGCTTCCCGGTCGATTGGCGGACCTTCAGCAGTGGTGGTAAGCCCTCTCTTTCTCTAATTTTGTCTTCGATTGGCTTCCCCTTCGGTAGTTTTCGTTGTTCTGGCGGAGCTCTGCTGGGGTTGGATTTTGGGCGCCGGATTGCAGTGGTATTTGGTGGTGAGCGGTCTGCCGATGGGAGAGGCCGTGGCTGCTGCGGTGGCCAGGGTGGCGGCACCATATCATCCCCCCTCGTTTGGCTAGTGGTGTTATGCATCGGGGGCTGGGGGTCCTGGTCTTCTCGGGCTCGGCTAGTGGTGTTAGGCGGGTTCCGGTGGGACTGGTGGGGGTTGGTTAGGTGTCCTCTCGGTTGGAGACGGGTCAATTCAGGGAATGGTTCGGGGCTCAATTTCGACTACTGTATAGGCGGTTGCGCAGTTTCGGTAGTGAATGCTCGGGCAGGGACTCCTACTCGTGTCGTCGTTCACTGCTGGTTGGGCTTACTAGCTTGCCGGGGAAGGGTTGATATCTCTTTTTTTTTTGTTTTGTTTTTTGAGTCGTTTGTGTTTGTGTTAGGTTTGTGTTTTGGGTCTAGGTATTTTACTTGATTGTTTGTTCTGTTTTTTTGGTTTGGGCACAAAAGGAATAAGTGTGCAAAGATACAACCCGTGATTGAATAAACCGACCCCAAACTAAGTAAGATGGGAGGATAGGTCTGCGACCGCCAAGAAACCCGACACTAGCAACGCTAGAAACCGAAAAAAGACTCAAGAAGCAACAATGCCACAAATCACAAAAACTACAACGAAAAGCTCAAATATAGAAAAGAGCTTCTCCCCATAGGAGAACAAATTTTGCTCTCTCTCACACTGAGGCCAACGAAAAAAAAAAAATATGTATATATTATATAT